CTCTTTGGGAATTTCAAGTCAGTCATAGGAAGCAGTCTTTTATTGTAAGTACCGTGCTCCCACAGAAGATTTTTAAACTTTGGAATAGTTTAATGGAGTAACTGACAAATCACTGGTTTTATGTAAACCGATTATGGGTCCGCATCACATTATTTATTTGTCCAACGGGGTTGGGAGCTTTAATTTAGGGAAAAGGGAAAAAAAGGAACAGTGATTCAACCAGTGCCTTAGCAAATGATCAGGCTCTTAAGAGGTACTAAATGGATATTGAATGAATTAATGAGAGAATAAACAAATCTATCCATATATATTTCTAAAACTGTAGTTCTTAGATACTACACCCCAGACCTCACCTTAGTAACAGCCTTAATATATATGCCTAAATATATTAGAAATACTTATCCTGTTAGTTTTGTAGTAATAATTTTAAACTTGACTCTTGGTAATGAAAAACCACTTCAGTATGTAGATATGTTTTGTTACATATATTCTTTTATTAAAATGTAAATGGTCAAGCTCAAAACAAAGTTTTGTTTTCCTTAGAAAAGGACCCCATGGTCATGTTTGGATCCTCAGTTATTCCATAGCACATGGCAAGCAGATTGTCCATTCCCTAATCCGAAGGAGGAACATTTCTATCTGTGAATTCCAGCTGTCCTTAACTGCACAAGTGCTGGGAGCAAACTTTTGATCCAGAGCAGGCCACAGGACAGACAGACGTGGTGTTTAAGGCTGTGAGGGTTTGCAGCTGTTGTGGTTGGGGTTTGTCAGATGGTTCCCACAGCACCAATCCCTGTGTGAGAATTTCACTTAAAAACTGGAATGTTCACAAAATACTCTGCAAATACCAAAGTAAACAGATGGCCACTTGGCTCTCAGAATTGCCTAAACCCATGCTCTATCCCTCAAATTGATCTCTTGACAGCCTATTTATTTTAAAACACACATGCAAAATAATCCTAGATATAGCTTGAATGCATGTATACACACCAAACAGAACAGTGGTTACTTCTGAGGAGAAACTGGGGGTGTAAGGGGTGATAAAGGAGGACTTTTGGCTTCTAGATTTATTGAATTCATGTAAGAAGGTATTCATATTATTGTGTGATAAAAATAATTAAAAGCAACTTTATTCCTGCTTTAAATCCAGCCCTAAACCCTGCTCTAAATCCTTCAATAGCCTCCCACTGTCTTTTTAAAAATATATATATATCTTTATTGATTTCAGAGAGAGGAAGGGAGAGGGAAAGAGAGAAACATCAATGATGAGAGAGAGTCATTGATCAGCTGCCTCCTGCACGCCTCCGACTGGGAATCGAGCCCACAACCTGGGCATGTGCCCTGGAATCAAACCGCAATCTCCTGGATCCTAGGTCGATGCTCAACAGCTGAGCCACACCTGGTTAGGCAACCTTCCACTGTCTTGAAGCTAAAGTCCAAGTGCATAAGCTAGAGCCGGTCTGGTACTCTCAAAGGGCCCTGACAGTCCTATGAGGTCTCAAGCCTCTAGGTGTTTGTATATGCTCTTCCCACCACTTAAAATGCCTCCCTCCCTTGACCCACCAGAGTGATTTTCCCCTATTTTACCCCCAAGAACTGGATGTGTGAATAAGCGAAAGAGGAACAAAACACTTTTTACACACTAACACCAATTTTTGGAATACTATCCTTTTAAAGCTTCTCAGGGTACAATTGACTGCAGTGTTATATAGCAAATTATGCTGACACCCAAGACTGAAAATGAATGTTTCCTTATTGCCAGACCAAGTCTGTGTCAAATAGATATCACACTGGACTATAGGGATCAGACACGGAGTGGGGATTCTGGAACTGCGTAAGAAAGATACTAATATGACTCTCACAGCTTGCTACCTAAAGGTCCTATCAAACGAGTTATATACAGTTATTTATAATTAATAATTTATTATCATTTGGGAGTTAAGAAACCCGAGGTTGATCTTTGGGCAAGACATTTCCTCTCTCTGGGGGTGGTTTCCTTTTCTATAAACTGAGTCCAAGTTTAGACTAAAGGATCTTTAAGGACTTTCCAATTCTAAGATTTTTTTTTTTTTAATTTTTATTGATTTTTAGAGAGGGAAGGAGAGGGGGGGAAAGAGAGAAACATTGATGTGAGAGTGAGACATTGATCAGCTGCCTCCTGCACACCCCCTACTGGGATCAAGCCCACAACCTGGGCATGTGTCCTGATCGGGAATTGAACTGGCAACCTTTTGGTGCATGGGACAATGCCCAACCAATTGAGCCACACTGGCCAGGGCAATTCTAAGATTTTAGATTTTATATATTTATGAGAGATATATTACAGACTCTTTACAATAGTCTTTCCTCAAAGTTGTTTCTCTCTGATAATCCCCCTCACTCTCCCTTTCCACTGAACTTTAAAAAATTATCACAAAAATGCCTCTTGCGATGGTCAGGTGGCTCGGTTGGAGTGTCATCCCATACACCAAAAGGTTGTGGATTCCTGGTCAGGGCACATGCCTAGGTTGTGTGTTCGATCCCTGGTCAGGGTACATACCTAGGCTGTGTGTTTGATCCCTGGTCAGGGCACATATGGGAGGCAACTGATCAATGTTTCTCTCTCACATTGATGTTTCTCTCTCTTCCTCTGTCTCTAAAATCAACATGCATATCCTCTGGTGAGGATTTTTAAAAATGCCTCTTTAATGAAAACAGTATTTTAACTTCTTGGATAAGTTAATGTTTGTTCATTATTAACTTTTTAAAATGAAAGTTCCTAAGCAAAGGTACCATCTGTCTACCTCGCATCTCATCATTTCTTCCATAAACAATACAATAATCTACCTTTAAAGATGAGCAGCAATAAAGAACCCTGCAACATAAGAACTGCACCAATATACTACAAAATAAAGCAAAATAAATCTGTGGAGTTCTAGAAAACTTTATGACTCCTTAGCAGAAATAAAGGCAGTGGTTAAACTAACTAAAATGAGAAAATTGTTTTGAAATAGCCTAGCACAGTGCCTGCATATAACGGTCACTCAGTTAAAATGTGCTCCCGTTTCTTCACTTCTCAGCACTAGAGCCTAGCACATTAAATTCCCTGACCAAGAATAAAAACATTTACCAATGGAGTCAAGGTAGTCCAGGGTTAGGACCACAGACTGCTGTCAGACTACTAGATCTTGAACTCCAGCTCCACCACTTATGAGCTACTTAATGTTTTGGAAAAACAAGGATCAGTAACAGTACCTGGCTCAGAGGGTTATTGTAAAGATAAAATAAGATAGTTCAGGTTAAGTCCTTAGAAACATAGCCAGAACTCATAAAATGTTAGCTAATAATAATGGTATTGAGAACCTACTACTGTGTTCTGGGCACTGTGATAGATGCATTACATATATTACTTCTATTCCTCATGACAATACTTGCAAAGCAGGTACAATTTTCACTTCATAGATAAGGAAACAGATTCAGAGAGAGGGCGTAACTAGCCTGGGCATACTTGGTGGCAGGCCCAGGGCTCACACCATGTTTGTTGAATCTAAGTCTCTGCCTCTCAAAATAGTATATTTTTACCTTGAAATTGTTTGATTAATATAAAAGAAAGTGGTGAAAACAGGTTTTACTGCCTTAAATACAAAGTATAAAATCAATAAACATCCTTTTTGGTAGCCATTCTCAGAGCTCCTTTTTATGCTCAGAAACATTTATTTTGTCCCCCAAACCAAACCAAGAGTAAAATCCTTTTAAACAAAATCTGTAATCTCCAGGTTCTAATCTTAGTATTATCACTAGCTAGCTGTTGCTAGACCCCTGTTTCATCATCACTAAAATGAAAATTTGAGTTGCTAAATCACAGATCCTCTCCCATTCTAAATTTTTTTTCCCTCCTGTTGGTCCAAAGGCACCTCAGCAAGCAGTTGCTGCCATCCAGAGGAGAAACATTTTGCAGGCCCAGAGAAGGAATTATGGCAGTTTTATTTTTTTATTTTTTAAATTTATCTTTATTCTTAGAAAAAAGGCAGTTTTAGGCTGTGGTGACAAAATTAGCTACCATTTATTGAGTGTCTATTACTTGGCAGGCACTTCCCTGGGCATATTCCATATGTATTTCTATTCTTCAAGGTAGGTATTACCCATGTTTTTAAACTGAGAAATTATAGTTTAAAATTTTTGCCCAGCCAGCATGGCTCAGTAGTTAAGCATCAGCCCATGCACTGAGAGGTTGTGGGTTTGATTCCTGGTCAGGGCACATGCCCAGGTTTTGGGCTCCATCCCTGGTGAGGGGCGTGCAGGAGGCAGCTAATCGATGTTCTTTTTCATCGATGTTTCTCTCTCTCCCTCTCCCTTCCTCTCTCTCTAAAAAGTCAATAAAAACATATTTTTAAAAAATTTTAAGTAACTTGTCCTGAGTGACCCAACTAATAATGAATAACTGAATTCTGTTTTGTGTCTGTTTTTCAGCAATGACAAGAATCAAAATAGAAGCATCTTGCAAAGGAGGGAATGTGTTTTCAAAACCATCCTTTTAGCCAGAATACAGAATAGACTGTGTTCCACCTTCTCTGAAGGGAACCTGGACCCAGGGGCCAGCATATGGCTCTGATCCACGTGTACCTCTTAGGCTCATTAAAGCTGCTACTACTCTAGCATAAAATGTATTTGTTGAGTGTGATAAAATGCAGAGTCCCATATCCAGATATTCTGATTCATGGTCTGGAGTAGAATCCAGGAATCTACATTTTAAACAGGTACCCCAGCCCTGGCCAGGTAGCTCACTTGGTTAGGGCATCATCCCAATACACCAAGGTTGCTGGTTGAATCCCCAGTCAGGGCCATACAAAAGTCAACCAATGAGTGCATAAATAAGTGGAACAACAGATCAGTGTTTTTCTCTCCCTTCCTCTCTAAAATCAATAAAAAGTTTTTAATTAAAAAAATATTTTTAAAAACTTAAACAGGTACCCCAGGTGATTTTCATTCCGATGAGAAACCCTGCCCAGTCACACAGGATTGTGGTTTCTATAGGAGCTTGAACAGAGTGAGTCATGTAGTTTCCTGATGCCTATCTGGTGGGATATGCACCATTTACTTTATTGAAGAATGGGCTGCCAATGTGAAGATGGCATTTCTAAACCTGGTCTTTGTCCCCCAGGCCTAGGACGCGCTCAAGGCTCCCTGGATGGAAAACTGTCCTCCACGGATGGGCTTTGCACTCTTGCCTCAAGATTTCATCTGTATGAACTGTATTTCATATAGTCCTAAGTATACCAACCATGCCAGTCATGCCGACCAACTTCCCTTTCAGCTCACACTGCCTCCCCCACACCCCCTACTCAGCACTAGGCTCTGTGCAGGTGAAATCACTGCCCTGGGGTGGGCCTCGATTCACAGTCTGGCCAAGGGCTATAGGTGGTCTGACAGAAGAGATTCTCCCTGGTAAGGGAAATGGTAATCGGCTAAGTAACCAGATGGGATCCACCCAGAATGTGGCGAGACCATTAACCAGTAGAGAGTAAGAGATCAGAATTGACAAACAGAGAGCCGCGTCCTCAGGGAGGCTTGCCCGCTCCCTGCGGCAGTGTCTGCCTGGGCGCCTCCTTAGGTCCTCTGCGGAAGGCACCGCTCCGCACACCTGCGAGCTGCCCGAGGGCCCGATTCACGCTCTCCGGATTCACCCTCTCCGGATTCACCCCGTGAGCTTAGTGTCTAGGGGCAGGAGTAAGTACTCGATCTAACTGAAAACACAAAAAAGCACTTCCACACAGCCTATTACTGATTCTCATAACTATTTTGAGAGTGTTTTTTACCTTCAGCCCCATTTCACATGTGGGGAAACTAAAGTCCAGTGATGTTGAGGGGCTTATTAGAGATCAAAGAGCTATCAGTAGTGGAGTCAAAACCCTCCATAAGGATATGACACCCAAGTGATAACCAAGTTCTTTCACTTCCATAGCAAAAGCTTTTAAACCCTTTCCCCCACCCCCATAATTGGAGCTGTAGCCCAGATCTTCCTGCCCCAGGTTTTACTTCCAATTTACCTCTCACCCCCGACCAAAGCTACCTTCCCAAAATGCAGACCTGGTTATGAGACTTCCCTGATTCTCTTGGATACAAGACAAAGGTCCATATTCTCATGGTTTTCAAAGCTCTCCGAGATGTGGCCTTCTGATCTTGCTCTCCCATCATCATATTCCATCCATAGTTATTCTAGTTTCTTCCACTGTATTCTTTTTGCATTTTTAACATGCCATTTGTTTCTCTCCCATGATTCATTGACAGCTTTTTCCCAGCCAGCTTTATAGCCTGTACATTGAAGGGAATGCACAGCAAATTTATGGTTTAAATAATAAAACCACCCAGTTTAAGGACCTTATCAGCCCCCTGTGAGTGTTCTTTTATGCCTCTGTGCCTCTGCACATGCTAGGATGCCCTGCCGGGCCTTCAGTCTGCATAGTGAACTCATCCTTTGGAGCCTCGGATTCGGCTTTACCTCTGGAAAGCCTCTATTGACCCCTTTGGGGGAGGTTGAATGCTTCCATTATGGCATTTATAACAGTATATTTGCCTCCTAGTAGATTGAAGATACCAAATATTAATTTCTTCATCTCCAGCAACGAGCATAAAGGCTAAACAGAAAGTGCTCAATAAATAGGATGTCCAGATAACCTGGTGTGCCTGGTGTCCATATAACCTGAAGTCCTTCCTGGTTTATGCCCGTTGTTCATGAGTAATAATTACAAGTATTTCCTTTTACTCAGGAACGTGTCCTACTTTAAATAATCAATTATATAATTGCCCTATTGATAAATGTTGAATTGATGAATTCATGAGTGGACAGTTTAAGTGATAGAATCTATGCAGGAAAAGCTGATATGTAAATATCTTCAAATAAAAATTCAGCAGCTGGCCAGTGCACCCCATCCTCCTGCAGGAGTGCTTGACTCTCTTAGACGGAGAAGAGTTTGCACAGCCCAGACGCTCAATAACTTTTATTGCAAAAATATGTTGAAAAATGTTAGGCTATTCCTACGTCAAAAAAACCTGGATGTAAAATGTGAATTTATAGTAAAGAGGTATGTGACGGGTTATGATGATCTGTTTACTGCTTGATGGGAACTAGATGATAGAGGAATTAGAAAAACTGACTTTCCTACTTGTTGAAAATTTTCCAACAAGATCAAATACTCCTAAAATGAAAACCTAGTCAATGAGGACATAAATTTTAAAAATTTAATAGATGTATTCTTTTTAAAAGAACCTCTCTTCAGAATACATATGCATACCAGTTAGTTGAATTTGTTCTTAGGGGAACATAAAATCTCCTTGACTTTGACATAAATAAAAATTTTATTTAAAGCTTGTTATTCAAGTAGAAAAGTTGTTTCTAACTACTGTTAAAAAAAGTGAAAATGAGGTAATTAATCTTTTTGATAATAATCTTTTCTCCAACAGTGTCATATTTTTTGAAAGTCAAAAGAATTCCTTGTAAATAAGGCTTTTAATAAATTACAAATATGTAATAGGTCTGGTCCATCTTCTTCCTAACTACTTAATGCACTGTTGCATAGCAACAATTTTTTTCCGCTGCTTCTTTGGTGGAAGTCTGAGAGTCTGAAATCTGCATTGGCTTGGATGAGCTTGGGAATTTGTCTGGTGCCAGGGGTGCAGATATCCATTGTAGAAATCAGTAGCAGTTAGTGTTTTCTTGAGCATTACTGATCGAACACCAATCCAGCCATCCTAAAGGGCAAAAGACAAAGAGTAAATATGAAGTGGTAGTAAAACTAAGTAAATTTTAGTTTATAAAACTTTATCATGAAAATAAACCAATCAAAAAACCTTTACTAAATGCCTCGCTGCAAGAAGCACTGTAACATATACGATTCTTTGACTCTAAAAGTTTATTACCATGGAGTGATAACAAATGTACAGATCTGTATAAAACTCTTTAAACATAGAGGAGCAGAATAAAAAGGTATATTTGCATGGTCCTTTACAGTTTCAGAGTGTGTCCATGCATCTTATCATGACTGGTCATCAAAATATAGCCACTCTAAAAGGTAGACAGATCCAGTATCATCCACAGAGAAAACTGATGCCCAGAGAGTGAGTGATTGATCCAAGGTGACACAACTGGTGGGACTCAAACTCACATCTTCAGACATCACCAGCTTCTATGAGAGCAAACTACAGACCCAGACAAGGACAACAAGACATATGCACCCAATGCTATTTCAGAATAAGTTGAAGAGACATGAAGAAATGTTAATGTAGGAGTTCTGTATCTACAGTCTGTATAGGTTAGATCAATCTATAACACATTTTAAATGCCCCTTCGTGAGCATAAAACATCTTACATATACATCACATGAAGGAAATGGAAGGAATGTGGGACACTTCTTAGGAAAATGCCATTGTCTTAAAAAACAATAATGGTTCCAAAGTCATTTTAAATAGGAAATCTCCTGTCTAACCACTGTTGAATAGTAAAAGCAAGTAGGACACATGCACAGTAGTTCAGCTAAATACTTTGACATGACTATCTTTTTTTTTTTAATTCTCACAGGAGGATAATTTTTTCCATTGCTTTTCAGAGCGAGTGGAAAAGGGGAAAGGAGAGAGAGAAACATTGATGTGAGAGAGAGACATCAATTGGTTGCCTCCTGAATGTGCCCCGGGGCTGGGGATCGAGCCTGCAACTGAGGTACATGCCCTTGGCTGGAATTGAACCTGGGACCCTTCAGTCCACAGGCCGACGCTCTAACCACTGAGCAAAACTGGCTAGGGCGATATGACTATCTTTTATGATAGTCATATTAACAAGATAATTTGTTAATTAAACAAGAGTTTAATTAAACTGGTTTAGTTAGAATATACAAGTTTGTTTTAAATAAGTGCTAAAGTTACTGAATCTTCTTTCACTGTTTGAGTAATAATAATGCCTTGGCAAAACTTCACCACTTTCAAAAAATTATACTAGATTCTATTAAGAAAAACTGGCCCTGCCAGGCGTGGCTCAGTGGTTGAGCATCGACCTAGGATTCAGGAGACTGAGGTTCGATTCCCGGTTAGGGCACATGCCCGGGTTGCAGGCTCAATCCCCAGGCGGGGGCGTGCAGGATGCAGCCGACCAATGACTCTCATCATTGTTGTTTTTNGGTGGGGGCGTGCAGGATGCAGCCGACCAATGACTCTCATCATTGTTGTTTTTCTCTCTCTCCCTCTTCCTTCCTCTCTCTGAAATCAATAAAGATATATTTAAAAAAGAAAAGAAAAACTGTCCAGTGGCTCAATCTGATAGACAAGTAGTTCAGTGAAGTCCCAAATAAAAATGATAAATGAGACAAACTATAAATTCAGTAAAACAAGTATGATAATTTTAAACTAACGGAAATGTACCTTGCAACAAACCAGAAGTATCTGTGACTGTTTGTGGTACATTATGGATCCTGGAATAACAGCCTGTCCTGTTAATTTTGGATCTAAAGAAGGAGGGCATAAAAAGGATATGAGAGAATGAGAATAATTATACTTCATGTGCTTCTTAAAGATCAAATCATCTTGGGAGGCAGTGCTAATACTAGAGAAGACTCCTCTGCTGATGACCTGACTTTGTAACCAAAACTTACAATGGAGTCACAGTACTTTGTGTGTATTTCGAACCCAAAGGGAAGCTTTCCGTACACATAAGAAGCTATGAGTCCTTTACCCAGTCTCCTAGAGATCAACCTAAAAATTTTGAATCTAGAAGTTTGGACCATTTGGGGGAAATAACTAGCCACCAGAGGAGATATATACAGGAGGCTTAGGACTTATGCTGACCCTTTCATCCATGACCAAACAAATCCTCATTCCTAGATTTCTGGAGAAGCCCGACTCCCTCTGCACTACACCAGCGCCCACTGTTGTAGGGTACTGATGGGCCCCGGACGGACCTGTGCTGTGAAATGCTACACCCTGGCCTAAGAGTCTCACTGAGCTGCCCAGACATTTTCATTTTGCTATTCACCAGAATGAAATTAACCAAGTCATTTTGCACTCCCTGAAAACCTTAGTGTAGGAAATCACAGAGCTTAAAGCGGGATAGTAACACCGCTCTGCCTACTTCCCAGGGTCCTATGATGATTAAATGAGAAAATACATGTGAATGGACACCAAATGAATGTAAAGTATTATCAGTATTGAACCAAAACAAACAAAAAGAATCCCCATTTTTTGTAAATGTGACCTATGGTAAAACAGACACATTTTCAAATAGACTATAGTGAAAACATTTTCCATGTCAGCTATTTAAAAATTAGTACCAGCGAGGACTGAACTATTAACTTCTACCAAATCCAGAAGTTTAATGGTATTATCCATCCAGAGCGTCTGCAATGGAATCTGCAAATATAATTAAAGAAGGTATGATTAAAGAAATACCTCAAACCCCAAACTCTTTTAATTACTATTCTGTTAATTGGGTCTAATTCATCTCCCAATTACAGGGGAATTAGGAACTCAGTTTCTAAATCTTATGGAACAGAACATAAACATGATCCTCTATATCAGTCTCCAGGATTGACTAGATCTTAACATTAAACACTATTTTAAAATCAATGTTTATATCTTTATTAATATTTCTAATAAAAATATATATACATTATAAAAATGCAAACATTACAGCAGTTAAGTTAAAAAATTTAGCAAGTAAGAGTACTCTGTACTGCCATCCCCAGAGGTAACCACTGTTAACAGTTTGATGCATTTAAATAATATCTTTGTTTTTTCCCCCTACAAATATTGTTACTAAAAATCTACTACTAAAAATCTAACAGTTTTATAAGGTACTTTTTTTACTTAACCATAAACCATGGACAACTTTTCATTAGTACACACTGATCTATTTCACTCTTTTCATCTGCTGCATAGTATTTCATTTTATGAATGCACCATAATGTATACAACCAATACCTTTATGATGAATACTCATTATTTTCTATTTCTTGCTATTATAAAATTGTAAAATGTGGTAATAAATAGCCTGGTAGATGTATCTTTGAGGACTTTCATGTTTCTGGAGGATAGTTATTGTTTTTTGTTTGTTTTTTAAATCCTCACCTGAGGATATTTTTTCCATTGCTTTTCAGAGAGAGTGTAAAGGAGAAAGAGAGAGAAACATCAACGTGAGAAAGACACACTGATTGGTTGCCTCTTGCAAGCGTCCCGACTGACCAGGGCTGGGGATTGAGCCTGCAACCGAGGTATGTGCCCTTGGCCAGAATCAAACCCGGGACCCTTCAGTCTGAGGGCCGATGCTCTAACCACTGAGTGAAACCAGCTAGGGCTGTTATTGTTTTTTAATGGGCTACCTAGATTACAAAACACTGCCTGGTCGGAGTGGCTCAGTGGTTGAGCATTGACCTACGATCCAGGAGATAGAGGTTCGATTCCCGGTCAGGGCACATGCTGGGGTCCTGGGCTCAGTCCCCAGCAGAGGGTGTGCAGGAAGCAGCCAATCAATGACTCTCTCATCACTGATGTTTCTCTCTCTCCCTTCTTTTCACTCTGAAATCAATAAAAATATAAAAAACAAACAACTCAATATTTTATTGTTAAACTGCCTTGACAAGAGAAAAAAAGGACAATATATTAGTTTATTACTAGTGAGGGTGAAGAGCATTTCCTGTATTTATTTACACACTTTATTTATTTCTCTGAAAACTATCAATTTATGCTCTTTGCCCATTTTTTTAAAAACTTCATTTTTCATCTCTGCCTATGAATTTATGAAAGCCTTTTATATTTTCAGGAAATTAGCCCTTTAACTCTTGAATGTGTTATGAATATTTTTCCCAGTTGGTTGACTTTTCGTCTTAGGTACATTATTTTTTTCCATGCATAAGTTTTTATGGAGTAATAGTTATCAGCCTTTTATCTCATGACTTCAGCGGTTCATGTCATGCTTAAAGAGGCCTACCCCATTCTTCAAGATTATTAAATATTATAAAATTATTCAATTGTGTGTTTTTTCCAGTCCTTTGTGGTTTTATTATTTTTTCATTTAAATCCTTGATCCATCTAGATTTTATTTTGATTTTAAAAGGTAGCCCTCTAGTGGCTAACCAGTTGTCCCAGTGCTATTTACATCTCACCCTGCCCCACAATGTGAAATACCTCCTTTATCACATAACACATTTCTGATATACCTGACATCCTAGAGCTTGATTTAAAGACGTTAACAAAATCAACACATACCAGAAAATAAGTTCTCTCAAATTTCTGAATTACATAAGTTTATTTTCAGGCTGTAGCTCAATCTTTGATATAAGAGATGAAGAAAAGGAGCCCCTGAGAAATGCAGCTATTTTCCCCATGGTTAGACAGAGCTAGTTAGTAGCAGAGCCAAGGATCAGAATCTATGTTTTTTCATTCTCAGCTCAGTGCTCTTTTTATGAGATCCCTTAAGAAGACATTTAATTTTTAGAAGAGTTAGGTTGTTGCAAAGATTTGAACATTAAATTTTAAAAATTAAACTTGAAGAAAAGTTCATAACCTTACACATGATATATTTTGGCACAATATCCTCTTCTAATAACTCGCTGACTCATTTTGCTACTCATATTGCTCCCAATAAAAGTTTTTTCATGTGTGTAACTTTTTTCTTTCAAAGAACTCAAAATACTTTGGAAACATGCTTACTGACTAAAAAGAGATTTATATATATTGAGAGCTACAAATGTTAGGAATATAATCAAAATATACAGTTCCTTTTTTTTTTTATTGATGAGAGAGAGAGAGAGAGAGAGAGAGAAACATCAATTTGTTGTTCCACTTTTTTACGCATTCATTGGTTGCTTCTTGTATGCACCCTGGCCGGAGATCAAACCTGAAACCTTGGTGTATTGGAGCCACACTCTAAACAACTGAGCTACTCAGCCGGGGCCCCAAAATATACAGACTTTATTCTTGAGGAGGTAAAGCTTATCTTCATCTATCATCAGAGCATTGCAGAGAGGAAAGAGATGGTACGAATATAGTCATTTCAGTGTCTACCATCATTACCGTCAAAATCATATGTTTGCATGGGTTTAAATCCACAGTTTATCTCCTTTGATCTTGACAGTTGTGGACAGGGTCATTAACCCCATTTTAGAGGTAAAAAAAGCAGAAGCTCAGAGAAGATAAGGATCTTGCTCTTGGTTAGTAAATGGCAGCTCTAGGAATTAAATCTCACCTTCTGGGTCCAAGATAAGTACTCTTTCTGTTATAGCACAAGATTTTCTCAGTGGAAAGGAAAGGTGAACTGCTGAAATAAGGATCATTATGTAGTAATATATCTGTGTTTAACTTTTTAAGGAACTGTCAAATTGTTTTTCACAGCAGCTGCACCATTTTACATTCCCACCAACAATGTATGAGGGCTCCAAATTTCTCCACATCTGTGTCAACACTTGCTATTGTCTGGTTTTTCTTAATTAGAGTGATCCTAGTAGGTGTGAAGTGGTATTTCAGTATAGTTTTTTTAAAAAATATATCTTTATTGATTTCGGAGAGAGGAAAGGAGGGGGAGAGAGAGAGAGAGAAACATCAGTGATGAGAGAGTCATTGATCAGCTGCCTAGCCCGCAACCCGGGCATGTGCCCTGACTGAGAATTGAACCCCGATCTCCTGGATCCTAGGTCGATGCTCAACCACTTGAGCCATGCCCAGCCAGGCTCAGTATAGTTTTGATTTGCATTTTCCTAATGACTAAAGAAGCTGATCATGTTTTCATGGGCTTATTGGTCATTTATATGTCTTCTTGGGAGATATGTCAGATCCTTTGTGCATTTCCTAATTGGGTTATTTGTCTTTTTACTGTAGAGTTTTAAGAGTTCTTAATATATTCTGGACACTAGATCCTTATCAGATATATGTTTTGCAAATATTTTCTTCTGTTCTGTAGGATGTCTTTTCATTTCCTTGAGAATTTTCCTTGAAGCCCAACAGCTGTTGCTTTTTAATCGTCACCTGAGGATATGCTTTTTTATTGATTTTTAGAGAGAGAAACATTGATGTGAGAGAAACATCGATCAGTTGCCTCCCATACATGCCCCGACCAGGGATAGAACAAACAACCTAGACATGTGCTCCAACCGAGAACTGAAACTGCAACCTTCTGGTGTATAGGATGACGCTCTAACCAACTGAACCACCTGGCCAGGGTGAAACCCAACATTTTTAATTTTAAAGTCCAATTTCTCTATTTTTAGCTTGGTTGCTTATCCTTTAGGCAAGATATCTAAGAACCACTGCCTAATTCAAAGTCATTAAAATTTACCCCTATGTTTTCTTCCAAGAATTTTATAGTTTTAGCTCCCACATTTAGGTCTCTAATCCACTTTGAGTTCATTTTTTATATGTGGTGTGAGGTAGGACACCAAATTCATTCTTTTGATTGTGAATACCTAGTTGTCCAAACTCCATGTGGTGAAAAGACTATTCTTTCCCCATCAAATTGTCTTGGCACCCTTATAAAAAATTAATTGACCATAAATGAATGGGTTTATCTCTGCACTCTCGATTCTATCCCATTGAACTGTATGTCTATGTTTATGTCAGTACCACACTTCTTGATTACTGTAGCTTTGTAGCAAGTTTTGAAATTAGGCAGTGTGAGTCCTCCAACTTTGTTCTTTTTCAAGAATTTTTGGCTATTCTGGGCCTCCTGGGATTCCATATGAATTTCAGAATCAGCTAGTTAATTTCTGCAAAGAACTGGGGTTTTTATAGGAATTCTGTTGACTCTGTAGATCAATTTGGAGAATGGTACCATTTTAACAATATTAAGTCTTCCAATCCATGAACAGGTCTTTCTATTTACTTAGATCTTCTTTACTGTGTTTCCTAGTTCTAACAGTTTTGGGAGGATTCTTTGTTTTTCTCTATATAAGATCATGTTATCTACAAATAGAGAGTTTTACTTCTTCCTTTCCAATCTGGTTACCTTTTAATTTTTTCCTTGCCTAACTGCCCTATTACCTCCAGTATAATGCTGAATAGAAATGGTGATCCTTCTCTCGCTCCTGATCTTAGGGGGAAAGCTTTCAGTCTTTCACCATTAAATATGTTAACCGCAGGTTTTTTTGTAGATGTTCTTTATCAGGTTGGGAAAGTTCCCATCTATTCTTAGTTTATTGAGCATTTTTTAACCATAAAAGGACACTGGATTTTGTCAAATGCTTTTCCTGCATCTACTGAGACAATTCTGTGGCTCTTTATTCTATTAGCATGGGGTACTGCTTTGATTGATTTTTGTATGTTAAATCAGCCTTGCATTCCTTGGATACACCTCACTTAGTCAGTGTATAATCCTTTTCTATATGTTGTTTGATTCAGTATGTTATTATGTTGAGGGTTTTTGCCTCTATATTCATAAGGGATATTGGTTTTTAGTTTTCTATTCTTGTAATATCTTTACCTGATTTTGCCTACCTTGGGTTTTATACTAGTTGCTCCTCTACTTGGAATGCTCTTTTATTGATCTTGGCATGGCTGGTTCCTCATTGTCTTTCAGATCTCAGCTTAAATGTTAGTTCAGAGATGCTTTACCCATCTACCCAATCTAAAATAACCTCCAGTTAGTCTATCACACTATCTTTTTAAAATTTTCATCAAATAACTTATCCAACTATCTGATATTTTAATTTATTCGCTTATTTGTTGTCTTTCTCCCCATTTCATTTTATCTTTAGTACCTGGAATAATGTGACATATTATAGGACTTCAACATTTTGTTTAAGCCCTAGCCAGTTTGGCTCAGTGGTTAAAGCATCGGCCTGTGGACCAAAGGGTCCCAGGTTTGATTCCAGCCAAGGGCACGGACCTCGGTTGCAGACTCGATCTCCAGCCCCAGTTGGGCTCGTGTGGGAGGCAACCAAACAATGTCTCTCTCTCACATCAATGTTTCTCTCTCCTTCTCTCTCTCCCCCACCCCTTTCACTCTTTCTGAAAAGCAATGGAAAAAATATCCTTGGGTGAGGATTAAAATAAAAAGGTTAAAAAAAAATTTTGTTTAATGAATGAATAAATAATAGCAGATATCATTTAATGAGTACCTGTTCTGTGCCATATACTGTACTAGATGCTTCATATATAGTATATCAGCCCTAATTTTCTGATGAACAAACTAAAAATCAGAGGTTACTTAATGTCACTGACCTAAGTGGTCAAAATGGTAAATTTTATGTTATGTATATTTTACCACAATAAAAAAATTACGTTTAAAAAAAATTAATTTCAGGATTTTTAGGTTTAGTTTATGAGACTCATTCCTAAATAAAAATATTTTGAAAGTGAATTACATACTTATCCACACATGCAATAAAGTAAAACTGCAATCTGACTTCAACTTACTATATTTCCAACGGCACGATAAAGTCTGAATATTTCCTCTGAAGTTTGTTCCTCCCATTTTATACAGCTGGTAGCAGCAGAAATCTTAGGGGCTACAAGATAAAGCCAATGACAAGAATGAGTATCAGGTTCAATGTCCATGAACTGATAACTATTGCTGCTGAATGATATATACAAGATCATTTATCATATTCTCAATTTTTGTATGTTTGAAATTTTACATAACATAAAATAAAAATAAATAAATAAATCATACAGGTACTAGAAGAAAACATGGGAGAATTTCTTTATGACTTAGGTATATAAAAAAATTCTCTAACTATGATTCAAAATCCAAAAGCAATTAAAGAAAAGGATGATAAATGTGACTACATAAAAATAAACTTTTGCAAGACAAAAAGAAATGCCATAAGTAAAAAAAAGACAAACCAAAAGCATTTGCAATTTATATCACATTACTTTCTATTTACATAGATATATTATGCATAAGACATATAGCTATATAACAATATAATATTCATATATAATTATACATTACATTTAAGAATACTTTATCTATTATATAGGTTTATTTATACCTATTATGTAAAGTACTCCTAAAAACGAAGAAGAAAAAACCCAAAAACCTGCCAGAAAAATTGGCAAAAGATATAATAGACCCTTCCCAGAGAAAAAAAATGCAAAAAGTTCTCAATCATATGAAAAGATCCTCAGCTTCACTCAAGGAGTAATATAAATTAAAACTACTCCAAGATGTAAATTCTTATCTATTAGATCAGTATGCATAGTTATTCATAGTGGCATTATTTGAAATAGCAAAAGACAGAAAACAACCCAAATGTCCACCAATAGGGGATCACAAATGAGAACTACGCCATGATAAAGAAAAATGAGGAAAATTCCTTCTTACTGATAGGAAATGATCTCCAGGATATGCTGTTAAGTAAAAAACCAAAGGTGCAGAAGAGTGTATATTTTATGCCACCTTTTTTGGGGGGAGGGGGGGATCAATTTCAAAACGTGTTCTTGCTTATTTTGACAAAAGCAAACAACCAGAAGGCTAAATAAGAACCTAATAAAAACAGTTACCTATCTAGAAAAAGGTAAACAGGATTGGAGGAGCTAGGAGTATACCTTTTCAAATCGTTTGAACTGTTGAATCATGTAAATGCTTGCTAAAATAAGATTTTATTGTAAAAAAAAGGAACACTGGAAATTAAAAACAAACTGAAACAAATAAACCTAACTATATATCAAACTAGAAAACAAAATCACATGGAAAAAATAATTATCTCCAGTAAGTTTTGAACATAGTACTGTGACTATATACCCTTAGTAGGATATATTCTAAGGATAAAAAACAAAGAAACAAACAAAAAAACTACAGAGAAATCTTAAATCCTATTTAGTTTTACTGTTTGTAGTAATACAGGTGTTATAATTGGGAGCTATTTTATGCATGGAAAATAAATAAACACATTAGTATTTACTAAAAAAAGATATTCAGTGTAAGAGAATATATATAAAATATGGTGTGTTTTATATACGCTATAATTTAAAATTTGAATCAGAAACAAGATGACGTCAAATTTTTTAAAAAATATAATGCCTAGTGTTGTCCACTGACACCTCGTCTTGGAACATACTGTTGTACCAGATAGTTTCTAAATACCAGCCCCTATGAAAATGAACAAGGGAAACATGACCCATTCCAATGTGGGCCAGAGAATTTAAAAAGTGAAATTTATAAAATTTATAGTGAGCCAGGGAGCACTCAAAAATCAGTTGCAGGGGGAGGGGGTTGTCAAAAGGATGCAGGAGCCAATATTAAGAGTTTCCCACTGGTCAATTTGGGACAACTTGAGCAGCACAAAGAATTATGAATGTAATTAACTATAAAACACAATAAATGAAGATCCATATGTCAAATATAATTTTTAAAAACCTCATTTGCCACCATAACTGAAGGTGATTATGGCACCAACTCCTTACTCTACAAATTGACAATTAGAGAAAAAAACTAAGCATTTATCCTGCTATTTTAGGATGAACTAACAGTCACCCTCAATTATTAAGGAAAAGCTCTTATTTACAGAACAATGCCAACTATTAAATGTAAAAAGGAGCTGGAAAATCCCTTTTGCAATCCCTAAGGAAATAATTCACTCTGGGAAGAAGCACCAATCCATGCTAAAATCGTCATGTGCAAGGTTGTTAGGGAACAGGATTTGTGAATGGTGCCAAACTACTACCCTACAGGTTAGCAGCTAACTGCAAGTGGAGAAACACATCTTTACACTGAAAAAATCTGGCGGTCACCACCTCAACTAAGTGATCAAACTTAGCTTCACTAACCTTGAAGCAACCTGGTATTGTGGCTTATTGATGTGACCATCCTAAGATTAGAAGGGACAGAGGCAAGACTATTCTGAGCAGATCCTTTTAATTAGTTTTAACTTTTGAATCATGTAAATGTTTTACACACTGAAGAAATAAAATTAAGTCATAAATTTAAAAAAACAATCCGTAAAATTAAAAACAAACTGAAATAAATATCAGTGAAACACAATATCATTAATGAAAAACTCTTTCCAAAGACTTTAAGACTGAATCTAATCAAGCCTTTAGAACTTCCAATTTACAGGAAATGTAAGGGCTAGAAGAGCAAGTTAAACAGCTCTTCTGGAAGGAAATAGACAACTGGCCTGGTCTCTTTAAAAAGTCAGTAACATGAAGGGGAAAAATAGCAGAGGACTTAATTATTGTAGATTAAAGAGACTAAAGGGACATAACAACTAATTACAATTGAATCATAGTTTGAAAAATATATAGCTACAGAATATCTTTTTAGGTAATTAGGAAAATTTAAATGTGGACTGGCTATTAGATGCTATTGTGGAACTGTTCATTTTTCTTAGAGGATGCATGCTGAAGTGTTTAGGGATGAAAGGACATGATGTATACTTCCAAATGGTTAAACAAAAATGAAAAAATATATACTAACTAAACACACATTTAGAAAAAACAAAATAAAATATGGCCAAACATTAATATTGTTGACTCTGGGTTAAAAGGAAGTCAATCTTTCAGCTTATCCCTGTGTTTGATACTTTTCAACATAAGGAGTAGGGAAAAAATTTCTGATGTTTCATGAAGCTGCATGTCAACAGGGAGAGGGAGACCTTACCAACCATTCTTCAGAAAAGGACATAGAAGTGGGCATTCAATCTTGAGTCAAAATTAAGGGAAATGTGCAAATGAAGAAGTCAGAGTGTTCAGATGCCACCAAGACAAACAAAACCCTTTGCCCTGGCCAGGAAGTTCAGTTGGTTAGAGTGTCATCCCGATATGCCAAGGTTTCGGGTTCAATTCCCGGTAGGGCACATACAAGAATCAACCAATGAATGCATAAAGACGTGGAACAACAAATAGATGTTTCTCTTTCTCTCTGTCTGTCTCCCTTCCTCTCTCTCTAAAAATCAATAATAAAAAAAGACATACGAAACCTATGGAAGAGGTAAGAGTCTGCAGCCTTTACTCACCATGTGTCACTCCCTCAGTTGGCTGCTGCCTTCCATTGTCCAAACTTTCAGGCAAATTTTTCAAAACCGAAATAAGCTAAAAAAGGAGAGTAATATAATCAAGATGAAAAGAACAAAAGCGGAAATACATTACAATTCAGTATCATGAACTTATCTATAGTTTTAAAAGAGTTCTGCGGCAGGTAAGGTAGTAAATTAGCTTAAGCTGTGAGCATACTTGTCTACTCAGTGGTTTCAGTAGAGATGTTGCTCTCTGTAGAGTGCAGGTCATTGATTTGTTTCCAGTGAATGCCGAGCTATGCCTGGCTATGCAAGCTTTCGGTATCAGGGCAGACTGTGCTCAGTTATCCACACTCTCACCCTGCAGAAGTAGAGTGTTTTCTGGAATCACATAGTCTAAATCTGAATCCCAGTTCCACTACCTACTAGCTGTGTCATTCTGGAAAAGTTATTTTACTTGTCTGTGGCCTTCAATGTCATCATCTGTAAAACAGTCAACAGCAAGAGCTACCTCAAAGATTTGTTGGGAAGGAAAAAAAATGTCTATAGAGCACCTAGAATAGTCCCAGCACATGAGCCAGTGCTCAATAAATGACAGCCGCTATTATAACAGCATTTCTGAGGTGAGTGCCTAGAATAGGAAGCACCATCTATATAGTCAGGGGAAGTTTTCCTCTACAGAAAATTAACTAGTTCATATGAAAATCATTAATTTGGTCATTAAGCATTTACTCAGACCCTGCTGTATACAGATTCAATGAGCCATACAAAGCCACGGAGTTCATTTATAGCTGTGGGTCAGCAGAATTCTAGTGCATATGGATGCAAATGACTGGAGCACAGGCACAGAGGTGCTTAGAGGAAAGCAAAGAGTCACTTAGGAAATGTGTTTGGTTCAATCTAACAGGGATGAAAGGTATGTCCATGAGACCGAGGAGAGTTAAATTGCGAAGAACAGTCTAAAGCAGCGATTTTCCATCAGTGAGCTGCAAGAATTTTTAAAACATACGATACCTGACTATGTAGTCAGGGGCACTGACCTCTTTTCCCTTAGAGTGTCAAATAAAAAAAATGACAACAGCCAACACAACAATAGCTATCTGGTGTGAATAAATAAAATTATTCTTTTGGTCAGATTGGCAAAAAATATATTTTTTGGCATGTGCAGAATTTTAGTAATTAGTTTATGTGTGCCATGAGATAAAAACAGTTGAAAATCGCTGGTCTAAAGCCTCACTGTAAAACAGTGGCCCATATAACATTTATGTATTTCATTTGAAAACCTTTATTAAGTAACCACTCTGTGTAAATTCTCAGACTTACATGAGATCACAAATGCCAAGCTAATTTTTAGGAAGTCAGGGATAGAAATAACTGTTTAAAAATAAAATCTTGCCTGGCCAGAGTGGCTGGGTGGTTGAACGTCGACCCATGAACCAGGAAATCGAGGTTCGATTCCTGTCAGGAATTGAGGTTCGATTCATGCCCAGGTTGGGGGCTCGATCCCGGGAGGGGGTGTGCAGGAGGCAGCCAATCAATGACTCTCTCATCATTGATGTTTCTTTTTTTTTTTTTTAAATATGTCTTTATTGATTTCAGAGAGGGGAAAGGAGAGGGAGAGAGAGAGCTAGAAACATCAATGATGAGAGAGTCATTGATCGGCTGCAGCCCGCAACCTGGGCATGTGCCCTGACCGGGAATCAACCCTGATCTCCTGGATCCTAGGTCGATACTGAGCCACTGAGCCACACCGGCTGGGCGGGAGATTTCTTAATCCCTTCCTTCTACCCTCCCAAACCATACCAGTAACATTGCAGGTGGAAACTGACTGTACTCTCAGAGTTCTTCAAGCATAGAAGTCCTACAGTGCCCTTTAGTATAACCCACCAAGCACTTGACAGCATCTCAAATTCTTCCATTCAACTTGAACCAAACGATTATCTTTGCATTTCCACTCACCGTTTTAGAGTCTCACATTAATAAAGATCCAAAGACTATATACAGTAAGTACAAACATAATAAATCACAGCTTTATTTGCATACCCATTACATATTTGAAGACTGTTACCAGTTNGTCTAAAAAAAAAATCTTAAAATTACTTATCATAAAATTGTTCCCATCATAACCACTTAAAGAATCTACTAAATGAATAAAAGCAGTGGGGTATCAGAAAACTGTACCATGGAAGCACCCAGTCTTGACAGCACTGCTTCCAATTCCTTTGCGGTGCTCTTGGGGGGCACAGGAATGGTCTCCTGTTTGAGAATTGGACCTACATCAAATCTACAAAAAAATAAATAAAACAAATAATATGATTAATGACAGTTTCTTACAATCAAAATGTTTGTCCACATGAGTGTTTATATACCACAAGGATAGTAATCACCACAAATCTGACTGTTAACCATTAACAAGGGATAAATGTCAGTTTGAAAGAAGGGTGAGTAAAATCTGGCCTGTACTTAGATCTTAAATTTATTTTTTCCTAAAGGGAAAAAATATAAAGTTGCATATCAGGGATTTAATTGCAATTATAGATAATTCTACCATTAGTAGTAAGTAGTATTTAAAAAAATCTCTATTTGTATAATGAAAGCATAGAGAAAAGAACTTCTTTTCCAAGGGAAGTACAATTAGGAAATTCCTAATTATTTCTTTCTATATTTCCTTTCTCAAGGCCAAGAGTTCCACCTGGATTATAATCATTGTTGATTATAAGTAGGTACAAGTGTATCTGCATTCCCGCAACTCTTTTATTTTACATCAAACTCTGTAAATACTAGCCATTAACTTTTATTAGAAATGTGCTTTATTTTGAATATTTAACTTTGTAGTTCTGTTAATTCTATTTTTAACCTATAAGCTTTAGTAAAATGTTTATTATGAAAAATTCTAAACATTCACAAAAACAATGACTAGTCTAATGAATCACCATATATACATTACCCGGATTTTAGAACTATCAGAGTTTTGATCCCCTTCTATCATCTACCACCCCCTCTCCTTTTTTTTCTGAAGTAAATTAAAGCGAAGCCCAGATACTGAGTCGTTCTTGTGAACCTGGGAATTATTCTTTTCTACGCGGACATTAGATGACAATTGGCAGAGGCTTAGTATATTCCTGAGGCAATTTTAAATAATTGTTTCTTAGACTGTAGATATAATAAAAAATTCAATGTTTAAGAGAATTATTGGTATACAATACAGTGGTACCTCGGTTTCCGAACATCTCCACTGAGGAACATTTCAGTTTATAAACGCTGTAAACCCAGAGGTAAATGCTTCGGTTTTTGAACATGCCTCAGGAGTCGAACATGCCACACGGCCTCCGCTGAGGGCAAGATCCTGAGGCCTAGCTGTCGCCTGTTGATCCCTGGGTTTTCCAGCGTTTCAGAATTTGAACGGTTTTCCCAAATGGATTACATTAGAAAACCGAGGTACCACTATATATTCTTCTGTCAGGTTCCAAAAATTTTTTGACCATAGTTTGACTACAGAAACCAAGGCCAGGAGAACTGAGATTCCTAGCAAATTATATACAAAAATCCATCTCTCATTTACATAGAATCTTTTATAAAAATCCAGTTGTTAATAATATAATTTATTTCAATTAAAAAGTTAAGAATTTCACAAGGGCTTTAGAGAGATACTGCATCAACAGCAAAACACATGTGGCTTATGTTAGAAACCAGGAAAAAACATAAAGAGTACAAAAGCCAGGGAAGGACTCTGGAGTTGGAGAAATTAGAGCATTAGCCATTCATCTATTTCCCCTCACCCCCAAACAGCCTGATATCAACATTCAAAATCACACAAAAAATCTCAAGAAAAGAAAATAAGCTCTACCTTTTAGGTCTGATTTGCATAATCGTTACTCCAGTAACTGTGTCTCCGTGAAGCACAGTATGGATTATAGGGGCTGGACCACGCCACCTCGGGAGGCAACTGGGATGGACATTCAATATGCCACTGAGTTAGAAAAGGCAGAAATTAGTATGCAAGTGGGTTGTGCCATTTAGCTACTGCTACCTAAACTAATATGCTACTTTTTCCATTAAACTTTCCCAAAAATTTTCAAAAACTAACAGTTAAATCTAGTCTTGTACCATCAGAAAAGGGAGCCAGAGCTAAGTTCACTCTCTTACCATAAGAGACCAATGAAACTCAATTAAAAACAGAGCAAGCACAACTATTCCAAAGATGTTGCACAATGGCTCATGATGTCTGGGACTTTATAAATAAAAACAAAAAATGCATTTTTTTACTATGTGAGAAGAACCACTCAAACCCCGTCATGCATCCCTTGGAGGATGTGAGTTATATGTGTACTTTAGTTACATAACTACCCTCACTTCTCTTGGTTTGCATATAGAATGCCTAAAATAAGCTTCTTGAAGCTACCTTCACTGTTTATCCCAATAAACCCCATCACCCATTAAGGAGTAATTTCAACAATTTACTGATCTGTGATTAGTTTAATAATGTCTCCATCAGCATGCACTTGAGAATGTGGGAACATATTGTAAGTTCCACTGTTCAGCTCAGTTTCACTCATTCAGCAATATTAACTGAGCATAATCCATGTGCTGGCAATGTGCTAAGTAATGGGGATACTAGCAACAGTGAACCAAACAGAAAAAAAAAAAATCTGCCCCCAGGGAGCTTATGTGACAGGGTGAGGAGTGGAAGATAAGCAATAAAAAACAAAATATGTAAAAAGTTTGTCAGCTGGTGCTAAGGGCTATGGAGAAAAATAAAGCAGAGAAAGGGATAGGACTATTGGGTGGGAGGTTACAGTTTCAATAGTGGTTAAAGAAGGTTTTATCAATAAGAAGACACTGAGCAAAAACATGAGGAAGTAAAGGAAGAGCCATGGGAGAAAGGCTTCCCTGGCAGAGGGAACACTAAGTACAAGGTTTTGAGGAAGGTAAACGCTGGCAAGTTCAAGGCACAGCAGGGAGGCTAGCGTGGCTGGAGTGAACTGAACCGAGGAATAGTACTAGGAAATGAGGCCAGAGAGACAGCAGGGGACCAAACCAAGTAGGCCGGTCCTCATAGGCCTTTAACTTTTATTCTGAGTGAGATGGGAAACCACTAAAGAATTGTGAGCAGAGTGACTGATCTGACTTATTTAAAAGGATCATTATGGCTGCTGGGTTGGTAAAAGACTGAGAGAGCCAACGACAAAAGTAGATACCAGTTAGGTAGCTACTGCAGTACGACAGGTGAGAGTGGCAGCAGTGAAAGTGATGAGAGTCAGGTTCTAGAAAGATTTCAAAGCCAAAGCCAGTAGGATTTCCTGATGGAGTGGATGTGTGGTGTGAGATAACAAATCAAGAATGACTCTAAGGTTTGGGGACCAAGCAACTAGAAGACTGGAGGTGCCATCTGCTAAGATGAAGATTTTGGGGAGGAGTAGATTTTGGGTGAAAGTTCAGGAATATAGTTCTGGGCCTCTTAAATGTTGGATGTCTATTAGACATCCGAACAGGGCTGTGGAGGAGGAAATGGGTATCAGGGGCTTGGAGTTCAGGGAGAGATCTGAACTGGAGGGACAAATTTGGAAGTTGTCAGCATATATATGAAATTGAAATGAGGGTGAGTGAAAGGCCACAGACAGTGATAAAGAGCATCATACATTTTAACAATTCATGCCATTAATAAAATATTTTACTTTAAGAGAAAATACTAAAGAAAGCAGAAGTAGAGTTCAAATTACTGCATTTTGTAGATACTAGGTCCATGCATAAAGACCAAAGTCTCTATACTATATTTCCTTATAAATAAAACTTACTAGGGAAATTTAAGAATCAGAGCCTCACTCAAAAGTCGGCCAAATGAAGCCACTACTCCAACATCATATTCTCCAGATCCCACATCTGGCCACTCATACACAGGCAGCTGAGACTGAACAGCATATTGCTTCACTGGCAGTCCTTTTGGTGACGGGGAAGGCACTGTGACCACCTCCAATTTTTCGATTAACTTTTCTTCTTTGTTTTCCCTAAGTTGAAAAGATTGAAAGAAAATATGACAATGTTAACACAATGGCTCAAAGCTAAACTACTTCACATACCTTACAGTATTTTTATGATTAAATTCATGAAGCAACTGAGAGACCGAGTTTTCATTTATTTAATTTTAATCATTTTAAATTTAAAGAGCTACGTGTGGCTAGTGGCTACTGTTTGGACAGCATGGCTCTAGAGGTTTCCTGTGCATACAGAAACATATCCAGTATAGACATTTTATACAATTGGGATATTATTATAAATACTGCTCCATTTTTCTCCTGTTTAACACTATATATGCTATTATGGAAGTCTTGAAAAAATGGGTTAATTATACATTTGTTTATTTATGCAACAAACATTTCTAGAATAAGAAACTAAAAACAGTGGCTGTCTCTGAAGAGAGGAGCTGGAAACCGGGAGACCGAGGTGGGAGGAGCTGATTTCCCACCAACTGACTGTATATCCTTTGAATCTTTTGAATTTTGTAATATAACCATGTGTTACTCAAAGAATACTTGGGGGGAAAAGAATATATTCCATGGGCATCACTCCATGACAGTACACACAATACTACCTTATTCTTTTTACCTGCTGCATAGTATTCCACTGCTAGGGGTGGAATACTTAGCAGGTATTGCATCACATGTTGAGAAATTAAGAGAAAAAGAGTATATAGAGAGCACCGAAAGCGCAGGAGTCATGGAGCCACCCAGTGAAGCATCAGCAGAAGGGTCAGGATACATGCAGTGAGATATGGAAGGCAATACAGGGATAACAGCATGTGGAGAGTGCATTATGAGAGTAGGCACCAAAGGGAGCATGTGTGAAGGGAGTGTTTCAAGGGGTGTATACAGAGGGCAGTGTGTGGAGGGAGGAATGTGATACAAGTGGATTGAGGAGGGAGTCAATAGAGGGCCCGCTGTGAAGCATATGTAGGGGGACATGATGGAGTGAGATGACAGAAATGAGTCATCCCGGGGGGCGGGATGCATCGGGAAACAACGCAGCCGGGGAAATATATAATGCAGGTTGGGGGAAAGGAGGCAGAGCAGTATATATGGGTATAGCCACAACATACCATGAACTTTCAGGACAGGCTGGATCACAATTAAATTTTTTCCCCAGTAAACAACATTTGTTAAATTTTAGAAATACTAAATGTATACCTAAGAACTCTGATTTATGTATTTATTCATCTGGAAACAATTTTTTGGACTGCGGCCAAATTTCAGCCCCAGAAAACTAGGTCCGGCCGTACGCTGGGAGGAGGTGGGGGTCGAAGGAATAAAACGTGGACGTGCAAGGGGATGCCTGCGCCTGTTAAGGCCAAGAGATTGGAGGGTACAAATTAGATGGGTCCGAGGAAGCAGTAAAGAGAGGACTTTGAGGTCATTTTAGTCCCGATCAGCTCAGATGACGACCTTGGGCAATCGCTTAACCTCTCTGAGCTCCGATTTTGTCAGACGCACACGGGCAGGGAGGTGGTGGCGCTGGACGGAAGTGAAGTACGCGAAGCAGGGAGCCCCGGTCGGCACCGCGGGGCGCGGGGTGGCGCTCGGAGAACAAACAGGCGGGGCCGGTCTGGAGTGCGGGGCGCCGATCGGACAGTCCCGGGCTTCCGGGCGCCTGGATTCGCCGAGATCTGGGCCCCCACCCTTCCGGCGCCGCCGCTTTCCCCAACGGGCGTCCACACCGTCCGCAGACGCTG